GCTGCGGCTGCGGCAGTGCGGGGCTCGGGACGCGGAAGCCGCGACCGAGCGCGTCGCGGGATGAGGGCGGCTGCGCCAGCAGCGCGAGCAGCGCCGCGGTCTGGCGCCGCACTAGGTCTGCCTCTGCTGAGTACTCCGCCCCCAGGCCGCCCGCCGCGGCGCCGCCGCCGCCCATGCCCGCGCCTGCGCCCGCGGCGGGGCTCGTCTCCAGGTGGCCGGCGGCGCTGGGGGCGGGGGCGGGCTGGCCCTGGTCTGCGGAGCGCAGCGGCGGCGCGACGGCGGCGTCCAGGGCGGCGGGGGCCTTGCGGCGCAGGTCGACGGCGCTGCCCTGTCATCGGGTGAGCAGGCAGCTTCAAGTCAGCATCCTTCATAGTGGGGGCAGGTGCTGAGGTCAGGGGGGCAAATGCCATGCAGCATACTGGCAGATGTTTCACAGCCCTAGGGGCCGCCACCTCAGCATCCCCTGCCTGTTTCAGACAGGTAAATAAATTGAGAAGCGGCGCCGACAGCCGCGGGGAAGCTTCTCACCGACAGCTCCGAGACCGCGCGCCGCCTGCCCGCACCCTGCCGGCTCTCCCGCCGCCCGCCGCCGCTCGTGCGGCGCCGCAGCCTGAACGCGCCCGGCGCGCCGTCGACGCAGTCCGCCGGCAGCAGCGGTGGCAGCGTCCGGTGCACGGTGCCCGGCGGGGGCCGCAGCAGGCCGGGGCGGGGGCCGTCCAAGGTGAGCGGCCCTGCTGGTGGCGATCCAATCCAGTTGCCAACACATTTTAGGTATTGGGGTAAAAGATCAAGGGTGTGGCACCAGGTGTGATGAGACGGGATATGAGTATTTTAGGCTTTCGATGGCCGCTGCGTCTGGAGACCACACGGTCATCCACATCTCTGCGGGCCGCAAGGTGCTGGGGCGCCCGGCGCCCGCGCGGGGCGCACGTCTCACCTGTAGGGCGGCCGCCGTCTGGGTCCGCCGGCTGCGGCGCCGGCAACCTCTCGAGATCGCGCTCTGCCTCGAGCCACGCCCCCAGGCCCTCCTCGGCCCTCTCCAACCAATCCGCCGCCACCGCGGCCTCCGCCCCATCCTCCGCCGCCGCTTCCAACCCTCCCGCGTCCGCGCACCGCTCTCCCGGCCCCGCCGCCGCCCCGCCGCCGGATACGCGGTCCCGGCGCTGCCCCGGGCCCCGCCTGTCGCCGGCGCCCTGCTCCTCGGCAAAGGTGTAAAACGAGAGCCCCTGGAACAGCTGCTGCAGCAGCGTGTCGTCGGCGCCGCGGCTGCGGCAGCGGCGCGGCAGGGTCGACAGACACGAGGCAGTGGGGGGCATGAGTGACCATGGGGCCGCCGCCGGCAGCGGCAAGGGAAGGCGAGCGAGCGCAGTACGCGGGCGACGAAAGGCATGAGTGCATTCGCACAGTCTGTAGATGGGTCATATGGGTCGAAGTGCCTGAGGCGAGCGCCACGCTCACCATCCTCGTTCGTCGTGGTGCGCCAGCAGGCCCCGCACGTTCACCATTAAATTGGAAGCGCCGCTCGCGCCTGTCACGCGGCTGCAGCAGCTGCCGACGCTCACGCGCCCGAGCGCTGCCAACGCCGCGCCGCCCGGCGGCGCGGGGCCCAGCCCAGTGGCAGGAGCGGCGCTCGGGCGCGCGCGCAGCTGCTGCGGCTGCGAGGCCGCCGGGGCGCCGGGCGCGGCTGGAGGCGAGCCGGCGTCCCTGCTGCTGCCAGCCGCCGCGGCCGCGGCTGCGATTCCGCCCCGCCTGCCGTGGCCAACGAAGCTCTCGTATCCATCCAAAGCATCAGAAAAGAACTCCAGAAACATCCGCATCAACAAGGCCTGCTTGCGGGGCCCCCAGCCGTCCGCAGATAGCTTCCGAGCAGCTTCCACCCAGGGGTCGGCGGGGCTGCCGACCAGGTCACTGTCTGTGCTGCAGGGGTGCAGCAGCACCCTGCGGCGGCGGGGTAAGCGCGTTGACCGTCAAAGGTGTGCGGTCAACACCAACAGCTCTGATGTGGCACCAAGTTGGCCCGTGCACCGCTGCCCGCACTCCCACGTTTGCATGCATGCCCACAAATGTAAAGAAAGCACGCACGCACTAAACACACAAATGCACTCCAACTGCAGCCCTATCCCTGGGTTTGATAAACAACATGCATTATTATGTAGCACGAAGAAGCACACTCGCGGCTTGATCCCTCAAACACGCTGTCGCGCCTTGACCCCTCACTCCAGCACGCGACAAAACCACACGCGCCTGAGCCTGGCCGTGAGCCGCGAGACGTAGGGGTGCCTCATGCAACGCGGCAGCAGCGGGTCCCCGCCCAGGGCCACCTCGTCCCTCTCCAGGTCAACCACCACCAGGCCTTCCTGGGGGCCATCGCGCGCAGATGATTCAATATCACGGGAGGGAGCCGAAGTGTTAGTATAGCGGGCCAAGCTCTCACGCCGCGCTCTGCCAGGCGCACTGATACTGCGGCCGCATGTCAACCCGGCCAGCAATCGTTGTACGGGTTCTCGCATGCGCAAACCCGCTGCCTGTTCTCGGCCGCCTAAGGCGACGGCGGCCTGCCTTGGCCTGATCTTGGCAAATGTCCATACGTCACGATCCTCACCGCAGTGGATGGGTCCAGCTCATCCAGACTGTGCAGCCCCATCAAAAAGGGGGTGGGCGCCTGCGGGGCGGCAAGCGGGGCGGCAGGGGCGGGAGTGCACGTTTGCGGTCCCAATATGAGCCCAGCCGGCGCTGCGCGGCCGCTGCTGTGAACCCCTTGTCATCAGCTTCAAGCCCTGACGCGACCACTCCCGGCACGGCATTATCGCCCGGCATTGCGCTGGTGGGCCCACACACAAGGTGGGGGTCCGAGGTATGGCATGCAAGCAGAACCGTGATAAGTGACCGATATTTCACACCTCCAGGTACTCCACGAGGCTGTAGGGCATGACAGGGATGTACACATGCTGGAATTTGAAGGGGTGCAGCAGGCGCACCACCGACTCCGCCACCAGCGTCAGCAGGCGGTACTGCCGGCTCTGCGGGCGCGAGGGAGGGGGGGCGCTGTGACGCCATAGAGCGGTCGGCTTCGGGTCCGGTGGATTCATTAAGGTGGATTCACTTGCAGTAGCAAAGGGGTGCCACTCAATCGGCAGCAACGATCGTTTCGAGGCCTGCAGCAATGCGGGGTTGCGGTTGTGTGTGGGCCTGTGCACATGGGGCCCGCGCGGCGCACCCGCAGCAGGACCCGTCTCTCCAGAAGCACCGCCACAAACAGCGCCGCCATGTTGTGCGGGCTCAGCAACTCCGCCAGCGGCCTCAGGCTCAGCTCGCCGGCCGGCGGCCCGACGGGCAGCGGCGGGCAGGCGACCAGACGCTCGGACCCCACAGAGAAGCAGACCTGCGGGGCGCGCGCGGGGGCGTGGCGTGGGTGATGGCGGTCATGGCGGATGCCCGTTTGTTTGGGCAAGGCAGGGGCCGCACCGCTCGGCTGGAGGGGAGAATGGGCCTTGCCTGGGAGCCGGCAGAGGAGGGGCACGGCACCGCCAGCAGGTGGCTGATGACGTCAACCACGGGCACCGGGCTGCCGGTGACGAACGCCAGGTTGCACAACTCGCGCAGCACCTGTTGAGGGGGGGGGGGGTCAAATCGCGTGGAGGCATTCCACCAGCATTGGACGCATTGCTTCCACCTTGAAAGGACGCGCAAAATCAAGGGGAGGTGCGAACAAGGGCGCCTTCGCTGCTGCCCCTGGGATGACTTGTGTGCTGCCGCCGCCGCCGCCGCTGCTGCTGGCATACCACACGCCCGGTGGCGGTAATTCAGGCGTTTGCCTGCCCTCAGGCACACGACACCAGCAGCGGCAGCGGCAGCAGCAGCAGCCGCAGCAGCAGCAGCCGCCGCAGCAGCAGCCGCAGCAGCAGCAGCCGCAGCCGCCGCAGCAGCAGCAGCAGCCACGCAGCCGCCCCGTGACCTTGGGCCCACCCACCCGCTCGCTGCACGCCAGGTAGGGTTGGTGGCTCAGCAGGCACAGCGCCTTGAGGGCGCGCGCGCCGCACAGCTGCTCGTGCCGAGCGCGCAGCTCTGCCGGGAGCTCGTCATAGTATGCCAGGCAGCTCGCATAGACCTTCGTGCCGTCGCCCTCTGGGGGAGCAGCGAGCAAAGGGGCGACGCGCGCAGCGGCTCGGATGGCTCGGCGGCGGCGCGTGCGCCCGGGGGCGACGGTGTGCGGCGGCAGCCAGGGCGCCGTCCTGCGCCGCGCTGCTGGCGGGGTCCCGTGGGCGGCGCACCTGTGAGCACCACAGCGTACATCCTGGGGTTCAAAACGGCACCTGCTATGTCCTCTTTCAGAATGATGTTGACGCCCGCTGGCAGGCAGCACTGCAGTGTGCAAGGATAGGTGCATCGTGTGTGCTCGTCGCCAGGCAATCGGTGCGCTGCTGGGCTGGTGCTTGCATGCACGGCCCGAGAGAATGCATGCCTGCTGCTGCTGCTGCAGCTGATCCCGCTGCTGACGCAGGTGCTGCTGCAAGTCCATGCGATTTGGGCGTGCCCATGCAACGGCGGCATGTGCGCTCACCGTGGGCAGCTGCGGTGGCGGTTGGCGCTTCGGGTTGTCCGAGTGCGGCAACCGATCCAGGAACGACGGCTTGTAGTTGACATCTGTGCCCAGAAACCCAGGCTCCCCTTGAACCGTCTGCAGGCCGTGCCCCGACAGCCCGCAGACGACAAAATGCTCAAACAGCGGCAGCGTTGCGCCTGCTGCACGCGCATCCACCATTGACGTCGGCGAGCCCATAGCTGCGCTGCGCGTGCTAGTTTAGTGCTGGCATTTCAAAGTTCAAGAGGGTCATTTAGGCGTTATAAGACCTCTGTCCTGGCATCCCAAGATCACCCGGTCAAACAACGGGGTGTCTGTCTTCATTGTTCGGTTGATTGATGTAATCCACCGCATTTCTTTCGTGACTGTAAAGCTTGCGACTGGATCACCGGCTGATCCACACCCGCGGCACGAAAGCTGGTCACTTGCGAACTTGCCCCTCCCCGCATCAAGATAGAAGCTGCGTCAATGGCTTATTAGAGTTCATCAGTTCGCATCCATGAGTGTCGCGCTGTGCGGCAAGAGGTGAGCATTTCACCAGGTGGCGAATCCAGCACTGGCAGCTTGATCATGAGCTGAGCTGAGCTCATCGGCCTTGGTTAGTGGCGAAAGCTGCCACTGCGGTCGATCCCACCTCATACCATGTACACCTGAGTACAGATACTACAAGTATACAAAGCTCGCAGTGGAGAGACTGAAGTGTGCGCCAACGGCTGGTGCGGGTGAGCTGACCACAGGCATACATAACAGTCAGGGGCACCAACAGACCCTTTTAGGCATCCGCACGAAGTACACACCTGCGAGCACACGCATGTACATAGCAGCGTGTAGGCATGGCGCGTTTTCAGGCGTATGATTTGTTGGTTGGAGCGTTGGCAGCGCTGCGCTGCACAGCGGTTCAATGATTGGCGGTCGCACCAGCTGACGCAGCGGGTGCAAGCGGCGGTGTCATTGCCACCTTTGAATTTGGCGGGTAAACTGCACGGTTGCGGTAAGACCTTGCAAGAGTCACCGTGTCACTGACTGTGTTAAGTCCGGGCCTCGGAGTCCTGCCACCTGGCCCGGTTCAGGAACCCCCACCTAACACCCCCCCCCCCCCCGTGCAGGCGTCGCTTACCAAACCTTGCACGTGTTTCATTCGTTGCAGCTGCATGGAGAGTTAATCTTGCAGTGATCTAACGTCGCCCCGGGTTTGCAACTTCAGTGATGAAGTGGTGTGGGGGTAGGCGCCCCAACTCCAGAGCTCCAAAGAGCCCTGAGCATTGACGCTTGGTCAATGGCCCACCTCACGCTCCTGACAACCAGATGCGGAGCGGATGATGTCAGTCTACTGCCTGCCATTGAGGTTTTCAATGACCTTGCTTTGGCATTGTTGTGCGCCTCCCTGTGGATTGTGCACCGCATTTTTGTTGGAGTGTCGATTGCGAGCGCCGTCCTCCACCGTCATAGCCGAAAACATCGCGCGTGCCTTGGCTTTTGTGGGCTGTTGTGACACCACTTTGGAAAGAAAGGAACGCTGTCGCTACAGTGTATTGTAGGTCCAGCCTGTGAGCCAGGTCTGACACACTGCAGCTAGGCCTGATCTGAGGGCGTCACCCCGTGGGCCTGGGGACCGGGCAGGATGGCCCACAGGCAGCGCATCATGCACCTGTACAGGCACGCGTTGAAGACGTGCCTCGACTGGACCGGCGATCGGCAGCAGTGGTACATGCGGGCGAGGGCCATCAGGGCCGAGTTTGAGGCCAACCGGAACCTGGTGGGTCTTCAGAGTCGTAGCCTTTCAGACCCGGGGTGACCAAGGAGCAGGCGGGGTGCGCCGCGCTGCTTACTTCGCTGCTGCACATGCTGTTGCTGCTATCGCTGCTGTTGCTGCTGCGCCTCACCCTCTATCCGCTCCTCTGTCACTGCAGACAAGCCGTGAGCAGGCTGATCGATTGCTCGCACACGGCGAGCAGCTGCTGGCCGATTGGCAGCACCCCAACCCCATCATCTGTGAGCTCAAGGGGCGAGGAGGGGTTCTGTGCTGCCCAAGCACCGGAGCGGAGCACAACAGCTTGGGCGACATTTCTTGCATGTGCAGGCATGTAAATTGTCAGAGTGGGTCCATTTCCTGCCCCAGCACTGAGAGGGAGTCCTCACGTCCTCCCCTCGCACTGCGCGCATCCCAACTGCAGCGCCATACTACGTTGGCGGCACTTCGTTCCAGCGGAACCCGCCGATGCCTGAGAATGTGAGCTGAACGGCTTGTGCCTGGGAGAGGATGAGAGGAGGATGAACGCACTATATAGCTGCAGCAACAGCAGCTGCAGCAGCGGCAGCAGCAGCAGCGGTGGTGGTGGCGCCGGTGGGTGTGCAGCAACAGCAGCTTCAAGTGGCCCAGCAGCATCTGCACCTACTTCCTGTACCCTCCACTGCCAGGGCCTGGTTTGTACACGGCTGTCAAATCATTATGCTGGCCCGTATCCCTGTATTCATTTCCACACTCGTCACTCCTCGCCTTCCCCACAACAGGTCAAAATTGTGCTTGACTTTGGGCGGGAGGGCTACCACTGACGCTGCGTCGCGCAGATGATGGTGTCCACGGGCGCCCACTCACCCTGGCGTCAACGCAGCGCCGCGGCACGGCCGCGCGCGCAGATTTGGGCTTAATCGAAACGAAAAGCAATAGTTTAGCTTCTGCATGTGGCTGCACCCGGGGGGGGGCAAAGCAGGCTGCGGCCACATGTGCATGTGTTTTACGGGCAGCCGCCGCCTCCCCGGGCTTGCTCGTGTTATGACTGTTGATGTGTTGAGCATGGTGCGCACACAGGACCACATGCGCGGCGCTTGCTGGCAGGGGCCGCAATCGGGGCGGCGCCCAGGCTTGCGGCAGCGGCGACAATCGGCACAGGCAATGCTCCCTTGCCAGCACGGTTGCAGTGCCCCCTTGACATGTAAAATCTGACCTTGGCGCTTAAATGAACTACACAGGGGACAAGGGTTGCTGAGCTGGCCGTGCATGCGGCACACTGCATGCTCAGGCAGCCAGTCATGATGTCAAGGTGTTGCCCTGCTTGCCATGCAGCAGGTGCGCCTTAGAGCAGAACGCGGATGCGTGATTGGTAAAGGCAGGTTGGGGCAGAAGGGCCCTTGGAGGAGAAAACTGGTGCAGAGTACAACGCCTCGGTGATTCCCAGGAGTCTGGTGCAAAACACTAGGCATGGGGCATGGCCACTGGTGCGCCTATGATGAGTCTGTTGTCCTGCAATTTCAACCCTGCATGCGGCTGGTGCATGTCGTCATTCACTGTTGACGCTTGGGCGCCACAACGTTGGTCACAAGGCAGTACGTGTTGTCGCGGCAGCTGGTAGCTGAGGGTACAGTCACTCCTTTGTAAGGGTGCCAAAGTGGTCAGCAGGTCAAACGCATCCAAGGGACGTCTCTAGCAGCCCTGGCATGCCTGCTCACATGATACGCAAGACATCGATTCCAACCACGCGGCATTCTGAATTTGCTGTTGTTGCAAGCAAAGTCAGGATGAGGAGGGTATCGAATGATCCCATGCCTGCAAAGCAGTGCCGAAGTGCTCAAAAAATCGAGGTGCAAGATCCAGCACATGCTCCTGCTGGTGACGACACGCCCGCCAACTGACGCCGTGGACGGGGGACTGCGGCGGGCCTGCAGCTGCGTCTCAGGCCGCGCCAAAGTGTTTGTGGCATCAAAACGACACTCTTAAGCGGCGAACGCCGTCCCTTCAAGCCGCCATCACGGCGGCGGGATTGCCTTCGGCAACATCAGAGTTCACGGAGCTCCTGCCCCACCGAATCTTCCCCAGACTGGCGATCTAAGATGTTGAGACGTATTTGGCCGCGGCGTTGTGCGATCCTTTGCCGCCTCGCTCGGGATGGACGTGTT